CTAGATAATTTTTTTGGGTCTTTCAGTGCACCAGTTTTTTTCTTCAGCTGTGTCTAATCTGTAATTAAATCTGTCCACTGACTTTTAATTTCAGTGATTTTACTTTTCGTTTCCAGAAGTTTTTTGACTGCTATTGATTATCTTTTTCTTTATATTTTCAATATTTCTTTATTCCTTAAACTATATTATACTCATTGTATGTTCTGGGTCTGGTTGTAATATAAGTCTTCATGGATTTCCTGTTGGTTCTTGTTCTGGTGTTAAGTTTCCTTGTAAGCTGTGGTTTTTATCGTTAGTATCATTATTATTTTTATTTACATTGTTAATTTGTATTTTCTTGGAATAAATTTATTTGTGATAATTGAAGCATGGATTGGAAGTAGGTATTCAGAGAGGATTTGCATTTGTTTCTGCCAGGGGGCTGGGGATATTACTAGACCAGGACTAATATTAGCTAAATTCTTGGCTTGAAAATTTTTGAACCACCTAAGTAATATGAATTCAGGTTACAGCCTACATGAGAGGATTTTAAAAGTAGATTTTTTTTTTCTTCTTTTTTTCTACCTGGCTCTAGGTGCAGACAGGTCATTTTCTTTATAGTCTAGAAATGTGGTGAGGTGGATGAGAGGAGTATATTGGTGTAGCTACTTGAACTTTTAGTCAAGGCAAAAGCTGGCTATTTTATTGAGCATATTGTTTTCAGGGGGAGAATCATTAAGGGTACCTAGTCTGTCATACTTTAGAAAATGTACAGTTTCTTTATCAGTCTATATTTGAAAAAAATTAGGAACCTTTTCCTTCCTCATTAAAAACATATTGCTGAAGAAAGTATTTTGAAGATAAATGCATTAGAATGCTTGAGTATGTTAAAGTAGATCTTTTTGTTAAGTTTAAGTAGCACTGAGTTGAAATTTCTGTATGATATCAAAGATTTACGGTTAATAAGTATAGAAGAAATTGTTAAGAATTCAGTGTGTATGGGGCCGGCTCCGTGGCTTAACAGTTAAGTGCACGCGCTCTGCTACTGGCGGCCCGGGTTCGGATCCCGGGTGCGCACCGACGCACTGCTTCTTCGGCCATGCTGAGGCCACGTCCCACATACAGCAACTAGAAGGATGTGCAGCTATGACATACAGCTGTCTACTGGGGCTTTGGGGGAAAAAATAAATAAATAAAATTATTAAAAAAAAAATTGAGTGTGTATTAAAGTGTGGATAATAACATTTATTCCATTCTTATTTAATTCATATAGAGTAGACCTAGTTTTCTTTGGCTCAAACCGTTAAGTGGATTTCTTGTATTTTGGGTTGTTAAGCAGCATAATTTATAAATGCACAAATCCACATTCTTGTATTTCATTGTGAAAATTACATATATGCTACAGAGACCCCAAAAGAATAATACATCTGGTTATAACTACCAATTTATGTGTATCTGTGTATTCTAAGGAAGTCTGGTACCTTATTACCATTTGTAACATATGGAAAAATATGGTCTGAATTCCAAGCTTCCCACTGATAGAATGTAGTTTGTTTAATAAATAGGGACTCTAGTGGTACTCTAGTTATGTAAGCTTGCATAGCTAATAGGAATATACTGGTTGATGAAAGTCAAATAAGTATGATTATATATACTATAATTTTTTTAATTCAAAAGGCATACCATCTATAATGTATTTGTCCCACTACAAATAATTTGTGTTTTTACATAAATCATTTTGCTTAGGTGATCCTATTTTGAATAATTGTTTCAATTTAGGTAATTGAACTGTAGGTAACCCATAATTTAGACTAAGGTTAATTATAAATTGATTAATATATAGACTATTACATATTAAACATTATATGAAACATATTCAACATTAAAAACCAATATAAACATTATATAATAGTAAATTTTTGGAAAGAAACCTTTTGATGAATTTAGTCAGATATCTTAAAAATCTTAAGTGAAGAAAAATTGGTATTTTGTATTTCAACAAAATTGACACAGGCACAGCTGAGAAGAACAAATCTGTGATGATCTCGTGTTTTCTCTTAGATTGTTGAAGGAAACTTTGATGGCAATACTAATAAAAATAGTAGTACTATCTTATTCTTAGCAAACACCTATAGCACTACCAGGGATTGTTGTAAGTGCTTTACAAGAGGTAGCCACTGTTATTGTTTCTATTTTACAAATAAAGTAACTGAGGCATAGAGATATTAGGTGACTTGCCCAGGGTTACGTATCAAGTAAGTGATGGAGCTGAGATTCAAAGTTAGTGTGGCTCTCCACTGTGGGCGAGTAAAGGGCCAGATAGCAAATATTTTATGCTTAGTCCATAAGGTCTCTGTTGCCTCTACTCAGTTCTGTCATTGTTGTGTGAAAGCAGCCATAGTCGATATGTAAATACATGGGTGTGGTTATGTTCCAGTAATAACTTATTGATTGACAGTAATATTTGGTTTTTGTGTGTGTGTGTGTGAGGAAGACTGGCTCTGAGCTAACATCCATTACCAATCCTCCTCTTTTTGGTGAGGAAGATTAGCTCTGAGCTAACATCTGTGCCCATCTTCCTCTATTTTGTATATGGGATGCTGCCACAGCATGGCTCCATGAGCGGTGCGTAGGTCCACACCCGGGCTCCGAACCTGCGAACCCCGGGCCACCAAAGCGGAGCACGCGAACTTAACCACTATGTCACGGGACCGGCCCAACAGTGATATTTGAATTTCATGTAATTTTTACCTGTCACGAAATATTATTCTCTTGATTTTTTTTTTTTTTTTAACAATTTAATATGGCTAACTATTCTTATCTCATGCATTGTACAATAACAGGCCCTCCTTGGGCCAGATTTGGCCCATGGGCAGTAGTTTGCCAGCCCTGCTCTAGACTGCTATGTATATTTTGGGGTCCTGCTTTGTTATATTTTGGACTCTTTTATCCTGCACCTTGTAGAGTTTGCTTCCATGAGGGCTAGACAACTTGATCTCTAAACATTTAGTTGATCCTTTACACTAGTCAATAGGAAATACAACAGGTTTGAAACATGAAGTTTCTACTACATATAATCTAGATTTTTCCCCTAGTGATTTCACTACTAAATAATTACTTGTTGACTTCCCTGAATCTTACCCTAAGGCAGAGCTACTAGACCATATTTTTTAACCTTTTTTTACTCTTTACTTATTTTGTATGTGGTTTTCTCATTTTACATCATTATGATGGAGTTGGGCCTTGTTGAGGTTACTGATAGTGGGGCATGCACAGATCTCTCTTTTGTAGTGTTGGCTCCCCTTTCATGTTCACATAATGCAGATATTTATGATTCTGCATATTTTGTTTGATTCTCTACAAGAACATGTTGATCTGCTTACTTATTTCTAAATTTACTGCCGTAGTATATGTTATTTCTACTATTAACCTTTGTATCTCTCACTCCTTTAACACAATTAATTGCCCTACCAGTCAGTACTATCTGCTCAACATAATGATGCAATCCCATTCTCTTCTCTCTGTCGCAGATTTAATGTCTCCATGTTTTAACATGTTACAATAGAGATATATGCAAGGTACAGTACTATGGTAGTACAGAAGACAATGAATGAATGGATAAAGTTGTTGTATACAGTGGAATATTATTAAGCCGTAAAAAAGAATGAAATCTTGCCATTTGTGATAACATAGATGGACCTTGAGGGCATTATGCTAAGTGAAATAATTTAGAGAAAGACGAATACTGTATGATCTCAGTTATATGTGGAATCTTAAGGGAAAAAAAAAAACAAGCTCATAGATACAGAGGACAGATTGGTGGTTGTCAGAGGTGAGCGAAATGGGTGAAGGGAGTCAAAAGACACAAACTTCCAGTTATAAATAAGTCATGGGGATGTAACTGTGGTTAATAATACTGTATTGCATATTTGAAAGTTGTTAAGAGAGTAAATCTTAAAAATTCTCATCACAAGAAAAATCCGTAAATATGTATGGTGATGGATGTTAACTAGACGTATCATGGAGATAATTTTGCAGTATATACAATGTCAGATCATTATGTTGTACACCTGAAACTAATATAATTTATGTTAGTTATACCTCAGTAAAAAAAAGGCAAAAAGTGTTTATAAAAAAATACAACTTTAGGTCTTCTTAGTTGAGTATCTTAGATGAATTAAAATTTAAAGATTTTGAAGGATTTGTCACTTGTGCTACTTTAGGATTGCTAAATAATATTAAATAATTTTATAGTTTTCCATGTTCATGATTAGGAAATGTCATATTTCTTCTTGTGTGAAGTCATAAACTGTTAAAGGCAAATAAAGTTTTTAGTAACAGTATTTTCCGAATAACTTATTTAAAAAGGAGGAACCACAGAATTTGGGCAGTCTGTCATGAGTGGGATAATCAAGGTAAGCCTAGAGTTTGAGGACCCATGTGTCATTTATTAGATACATAATTGGTAATACTGCAGTAATATAAATGTTGGCTGAGAGTTTCGTGGTGACTTTTTAACTTTCTTATATTTTTGTGTCAATTTTATCTGTCTGTTATATCCCACTGTGTTTTGACTTTTTAACTTTCTTATATTTTTGTGTCAATTTTATCTGTCTGTTATATCCCACTGTGTTTTGAATTTTCTCTGGGCCCGGTTGTACTAGGGTGAAGGTGGACTGTGTGCCTATTTTGGATCTTCTTGACATGTGTAGCTACATTTTTGCCACCTGGTATGCCACTGTATTTTTTTGCACTGTGAACACTGGTAGGCATGAGTAATGTACTGTTCATTCTATAGTTGTAGAATTTCAGTGTATTTCTTTGTATTTTCCTTGAAGACACTTCTATTAAAATTTTACTGAGAACATAACATGAATCCTAAATGATCAATATAATTTTTCAAAACCAACTATTTTAAAACTAAATATTTGATATTACATAGTTATCTCTTGAGAATCTTTTAATTTGGGACAAAAAAATCAAAGAAGTAATGAAAGTTATCATTCACTTATTCTTTCTAGGAGTTTCTTTGAATTGCTGCTGTTCTTTGGAAGAGATGAGTTTTATGAAGAGCCCTTAAAGGATATTCTTGGATCATTCCAGGTAAAACAGTTACTACTTCACGTTTTGTCTACATTTAAAACAGGCTTTAGTCTCCCCTAAAAATAGTATATTGGTTATTTATTGCTTATAAATTTTTATATTTACTAAGGTGGCAGTGCTTAACATCCTATTATACTGGCAGAAAAAGAAAGTTCTTAAAATTAACTTTCAACTGTATTTCTAAGCAGTTCATAGAATTCCAGTTGCACATTTGTTAGACCAGAGCCTGCTGCCACCACCCTTGTAGATTCCTAAGCATAGGAATACATACACTTTTCATTGCTACAGGCTTTGCTTCCAAAGCCCCATAGAGAACTCGGCCCAAGTGGAAAAGGACTCTTCTTGCCTAGACTAGGAGCAGGCTGTGTGTCCCATGCCACTTTGTCCTTTGGCTGTACCCTGATTTTCTCATCTGTTTTCTCAATATCTTTCCCAAGATAGGAGGCAGACTCTTTTTTGCACTTGCTGTATGAGAGAAGAGAGTAAATTCAAAAGGGAATGACAAAATATCCAAGACTTCTGCTCTAGATGTAAGAACATTTGCTCTTTTTAGCATTTACTTAAGAAGCGGTACCTAGGACTGTGGCTCACTGATGTATCTATCCTTGGCAATATCTCATTAGCACTTCTCTGGGGTGGAATAAAGGAAGATGTGCTTTGAGCTCCTCCTAGGGGTAAAGTGTTCAGACAGCATATCTGACATTTATTCCTGTGGTGTTCACAAGAAAGTCCCCCAGGAGCATTGCTGTCCACCTTGAGAAAAGGGAGCAGCAGAGTAACAAAAAAGTCATGCAATGTTTTCTCTCACCAAGAATTTTTATTTCATCTTTATTGAAAGAGCTTTTAGACTAAATTAAAATAGATTTTTATGATCGATCACTCTGGTGCATACATAAAATAGGAAAATTATAAATAAACTTAATTGGCTAAGGTATATCTAAAAATTCTTCACATTCAGAATCTGACTCTAGAATTGCTTTTCCACTCAGTCATCAGTGTCTGTTTTTCTATACCATTTTGTCTTCAGTGGCATCAAAAGTGTTGGTGATGCAGCATTTACTAAAATAATAATAAAGAACTAAAAGCCATTGGTACTGGGCTTTTAAAAGCTTAAGCTGGCTTTATGGTTCTGTTTAACTAGCCAACTTTTGTCTTCTGCTTCAGGGGTGTTGTTAAATTAGATTAATTGCCCTGTACCCTCCCCACACCATTTGGTTCCCAAGAGTTAAAAGAAGGCTCTGCTAGTCTCTTGGATTTTATCCTGAGTCACCAATATATCCTTTTGCAAGTTTTCATACGGTCTCTTTGAACGCCTGTGCATGCAGAATGGCGCTACATCATGACCATTACCAGGCAATATGGATTCTAAGGTAGTATTGAATATAAAACATATTTTGATTTCAGAGTTATAAAAAGATGAAAAAAATGTATCTTAGAATCAATGAAATTAGGTACACTATATTGAACATTCTACTTTATCCATTCTTACATTCAGCAAAAGAGGTAAGAACACCTGTTTTCATAGAGCTTACATTTTAATTAGAGTCTGTATTCAAGTATTTAAAACTTCTTAATTCCATTCCATTTCTCCTTTGACACTTGTGTTCTTGGCAGTCCATGCTTGAACTTTTACTCAGCAAATATTTATTGAGTCCCCATTGTGTGTTGGCCCTATGCTCTGGGAAAAACTGCAGAAAGCAACAGCAGAAAAACCCTGCTGTTCTGGAGTTTAATTCTAGTGTAGAGACAGAAAGACAATAAATCAAACCTCTGTAAATTGAGAGTATTTTAGAGAGCGACAGATGACTTAGAGACAAATGAGGCAGGCCAGGCAGATAGAGCGTGCTAGCATGGTGGTGTTGGGGGAGGAGCTGCAGTTTGAAATGGGGTCTGGGGAATGTCTCATGCAGGTGGCTCTGAGCACTGACAGTGGGAACCCTGGAGTGTTCATAGAGGAGCTGAGAGACAGTGGTTGACTTCTGTTTTAAATGTGTGAAATCATAACATTTGTGAAGAGACATATCCTTCACTTTTTTCTTTTGAGCAGGGTGTCCATTCAGTTATCCAAATAATTCCTCAAGGGAGAGTTCATAGTTTTGCATCCTTTTCTATCTCCTACTCAAATTCTAAAGCCCACCCCTTCTCCTTTTTAATTTGTTTTGTTTTTAAATCTCTCTGCCATTTCTGCCGCTTTTGTTGCTGTGGCTTCTTCCTACTCTGAATTTTCTTCAGCTTCTATCTCTTGCCCTCCTAGGAGAGATTTCACCTTTTGTTCCCGTTTTAGCTTTGCCTGGAGAATTGTCCTCTGTTTTCTGAATTGAGCTGCTGCTTTTAGTGTTCCCAGGCCTGTGCCCTTAGGGACCCAGGAAGGGCCAACACGTAGTCCATCCTGAACACCCCTCTAAAACCTTGTGTTTGCTAAGCTTTGTGAATTCTCCAGGCATTTGACTGACCTTTGATAATCCAATGACAATCCCAATGTCACCTTTTGAAATTCTAAATATTTTCTAGGTGGTTCATTTCTGTCCATCTTTCATACAGATTCATACCAGCTTAAGATTGTGCTCTTTCTCCTCTACCATAAGGAGGACAGACACAGTGCTGCTCATACTTTAATATACATAAAGATCACCAGGGGTCTTGTAAGGATGCAGATTATGATTCAGTAAGTCTGGGGTGGGGCCTGAGAGTCTGCATTTCTAACAAGCTCCGAGGTGATGCCTATGGTGCTGGTCCTTGGACTATACTTGAGTTAGCAAGGGACTAACATTGTTTGCTGGATTTGAGTTAATTATTCCTCTGTCCCCTCTCCCATCCCTCCATTTTCCAAATGTGACTATCCTAGCTTTGCCACTCACTTTCTTTCATCTTGGACAAATTACGTAATTTCTTTGTCAGGTTCCTCATTTGTAAAATGGGACAATAATTGTACTTGCTGCATAGGGTCATCAGTTTGCCATCATTCTTAGCAAAATGATCAGGCTTAATAGGTCTTATAGCCTGTCTGGTGAAGGGTGTGGGCTCTGAAGTCATAGTACTTGGATTTCTGTTTTCACAATAAGACCAAAACCTAGCCCATAAGCTTATTCTATTCTTCCATGAATTTCTGATTTCCTAAAACCTGAGCTGTTCAAGTAGACCACTGACCATAATTTTTCCTTTGCTTTTTTATTCCAAGAGAAAACTTCATTCTTAGAGCTGGCTGTTCCATGTACTGGCTTCTAAAAGCTTGCTTTCTTAGCCCTTCGCTTCCAGTAATTTTTCTTGACCTCAACATAAGAAGATGACACATTTCCTATATGATGCATTTACCTCATTACTATTATTTTTAGTCTGTTCTTTTGTGAGCTTTCCATAGGCTAGTGATTGAATTCATACAATGGGTCTCCGAAACCCATTAATTTTAATTAAATCTTCCAGATTCCCAATGAAAAGATAAAAATAGTATAAAATGAGGAAAAAAGTCCTTATGAATGCTGGAAACTAGGACGAGAACCTATATCAAAACCAGACTGAGGGATGGGCAAAACAATACGTGATAAACTGAATGTGATTAAATAGGGAAATGCAAGAGAGAGAAGGGGAGGGATGGCTAAAGAGAGACCTTACGGTGCAATCCAGTAGTGCCCCCCTCACTCCCCCACCAGCTTATAGCAACAGGGGCTGGAGGAAATAGCAGATGGTGGGGCATTTGGTGTGTGGCCAATCTCATTCTTGGTGGTGCTTTCAAAAGTGCACCAGGTGTGCAGCAGAGCCCACAGAACATGAGAATCGTGATGTGCCTATTATACCTACGTTAAAAACGGGATGTATGGCTCTGCATGAGAGCTTTCCTTCCATTGAGAGAATGAGGCTGTGACCCAAGCTAAATGCAGCCTGCCTCAGTACCCAGAGGTAAGAAAGTTTTGTAAAGAGATGTGGTTGTCTCCCACTGTAGCTTCCTCTTTAATGCCTCAAGAGCCATTGATCTCACAAATTAAACTTATAAACTTTTCCCTTCTCTCTTTGTTTGGGTTTGAAGGATTCACTTAGACCTATTTGCCCGTTAGTAAAACAGCTCTCTGTTCTAGATAGTCTAGGTAAAGATAAAGAGAATACCAGTTACCATCAATTACATGGTAAGATAAGACAGTTTTAAAAAAAAAGATTAAATACGTTCTTGCTGTGGTTGAGTTCAGGGTATCTTTGTGAAACTGGAAGTGAAATTGTAAAGAAGGGACAACCCCAAAGAATGTATGGAGGTGAAATATTGTATGGAGTTGAAACTGCTAAATCACAAGTGTAGTGAAGGTAATCAATAGCAGATTAGCTCCAGGAAAAACCAAATCAGTGAAGGAAATGATCTCTAAACACTAATTTTCATTTCATAGTCACATGCAGTCATATCTTTATAGTCTTCAGTTTTCAGGATAAAGGAAAGTTCCTACAAATGCAGAGCTCATGTAGAACAAACAGGATTCCCACAAAGGAAAAAATAAAAGCAGGCTGGCAACGAACTTCTCCATTGTAAAAAATGCCAGAATAAAGAATTCTAGAGTTTTTCAAGGGAAAAAATATTATTTAACAATACAGCTGCCAAGCCCTATAGTTTATGAGAGAAGGCAACAGAGATAAATAGTCCCAAAACTTGGAAAACAAACCAAGTATGTGTCTTTTATCAGGAAAACAAATAAAAGAAGCATGCCAGCTGTTTTAGAAATGATCAAAACAAGTAATTTACAAAAAGAGTTGTTACACAATAAAAGAAATAGAACAGACCTGAGGGAACAAGTAAAAAATTAGTAGATTATTGTCAGTATGGCTATTATGAAAATTCTATTAATGTCAAATGATTCCGAAAAAAGAAATTAGAAGTTGTAAATAAAAGCACACACATAATAATCGAGAACTAAAATCACAGATTATGGTATTGATTGGATGGGGGTAAAGAAGATAGGGAAGAATCGAGTACGTTCTTGGGCATCTGAGCTGAAGTAGCCGCACAGAGTAGTGCCATTCAC